AGTATGTTATAGCATGTTGAAGAAGTTAAGTGAGGAGGGGAAGAATAAGTTATTGGTGCTATACAATAAAGTGTGGGAAGAAGGAAGAGTGCCAAAGAGCTGGAAGGAAGCAGTTATTGTTCCAATAAGAAAACCGGGGAAAGATTCTAGAAAGCCAACGAATTATAGACCCATAGCCCTGACTTCTCATATCTGTAAGCTAATGGAAAGAATGGTAAATGCAGTTGTGTGTTAAGAATTTCTTGAAAGGTAGAACAATTCAGGTTAAAATAGGAGCAGACTTGTCAAGCAAGCATGTAGCCGAGAATGGAACGCCCCAGGGGAGTGTAATAAGTCCCACATTATTCTCAGTAAAGATAAATGACATATATGTAAATGTACCAGCAGGCATGGGAAGATCATTATTTGCGGACGATGGAGCAATATGGAAAAGAGGAATAAATGTAGAACATATAGTTAAGAAAGTGCAAGATGGTATTCTGCAGGTTGAGAAGTGGGGAATAAAATGGGGTTTTAAATTTTCTGTTGAAAAAATTAAAGTAATGTTTTTTACAAGGAGGAAAATCAATGAAGGCTTTAATTTAAAACTATACGGAAGTAATTTGGAGAGAGTAAATACTCAGCAGCCAAATCTGTACTTGCGAGACTTGATACAATACAGGCTAAACCATTGAGACTATGCTTAGGAGCAGTAAAAACGTCACCAGTATGTGCGCTACAAGTGGAAGCGGGAGAAATGCCACTGGGGCGGTAATGCAACGCTCTTGGATGCAAGCCGCCGTTAAACCTCAAAGAAGAAGAAGAAGAAGAACGTAAATATCAAGACAGTTAATAATGTCGTTAGTTTTACCATCAGTTCCCAGACTGCACACATACTTTGGGCCGATGTCGACCCGACGTACAACATTCCATCGGCACGATGTCGCTCAGGGATCGTTGGCTAATAGGGAAGATGTCGCCGCGACGTCGGCCTCTGATCGCAACCAGTTCACTTTTCCCAGCCGTACCAGCTAAAAGTGTGAAGTACTTTTTATGATGAGACAAATCTAATAATTCAATATCCCCTAATATCCAAATTCTAGGATCATAACTGATTGGGATTCCTATAACCTTTGAAGATATATCAGTTATATATTTTCAAAAATCATTCAATACAGGAAAATTCCAAAGCATATGAAATAAATTGCCTTCAGATGTTTTGCACCTTTGACATTTTGAAAGAATATCAGTATTTAACATGTGTAGTTTTTGAGGAGTATATGTCTAATATGTTTAATGTAATTTAAACTAAAAGAGTGTGTCTGAGCCCCATTATTATCAGGAAGTCTATTTCAAAGTAAAATACCAAAAAGCTCTACTTCCTTTAGTGGACTTTGATAAATCCTTGGTATTATCAATAGTCCAGAATTTTGTGACCTCATTACAGGCAAAGCACCATAGCTGCTGCTGACCCTATTTGTGCTTATTTTGCTATATGTATATTAGGGTTGTGACGGTGAGGAAATGTGCCCACCAGTTAATCGACGTGTGACAACACCGGTTATACCAGTATCACCGTGGGGGCGTTCCCTCTTTTCCTTGCTTTCCTTTGCTTTTAAATAGCTTGTAAAAGCGGCGTGCGCATTTTACTTTCACTTTCAAATAGCGGCAATTCGGCGTAAAGCAATTG